TGTGTTATGTTAATCCCACCAGCTTAGATGTGTTGTGTTAATCCCACCAGCTTAGATGTGTTATGTTAATCCCACCAGCTTAGATGTGTTGTGTTAATCCCACCAGCTTAGATGTGTTATGTTAATCCCACCAGCTTAGATGTTTTGTGTTAATCCCACCAGCTTAGATGTGTTATGTTAATCCCACCAGCTTAGATGTGTTATGTTAATCCCACCAGCTTAGCTGTAATATGTTTATCCTACCAGCTTAGCTGTGATATGTTTACCCTATCAGTTTAGGTGTATTATGTTTATCCGACCGGCTCAGGTGCACTGTCTTTATCCCACCAACTCGAACCAGTGTTCGAATTGTAATTTTATAGGGCAAGGTAACCATTCACATGGGTTTAATCAGGAATTTTACTGCACCACCACAAGTTGGAAGTGCACCAAGGCAAACAGTGCCTTCAAAGGAGGGGCACCGATGCACCTTAATATTTATCAACGTTGATATAAGACTGGGACTGGGAGGGACACATACACAACGTGGAATTTATGGGAAGACACGCCAGGTGGGGGTTTATTGCTGTCGATATCGGCAATAATCGGCAAATATCGATTTTCCGATGCAAGTAAGGAGGCCAGCTACAGCACATGTCGTTGCTGTGAAATTTGTGTCCTATTAGGTGTGTTATTTACTCTGTCTGCGAGGTGACAAGGCATTAAGGTGAGGCAGGTGGATGCGTTAGACGGTGTTGTGCTTCTACGTGTGAGCCTGTCGATGCTTCGCTCGTTCTTATCAGTCTAGCTGATTAGTCACAGTATTGAGGATATCTCAGCGTTTCCTTTGCTGTTCAGAAATGCTTGGAGAAGTAGTGCAGCTTTTAAACTAGCCGCTGCTGTTGAGCTGTCTGCCTGGAGTGATTGGCAGGTAGTTCTAGCCAATCAGCATTGCAATAAGTAGATTCTAAAAATGTTGCTGGGCAACGAAGTGATTCAAGTTGTGAATTTGTAGCGCACGCATGTAATCTCGTACAACCTGGTCTAGCTTTACCAAAAGCTTAATCAATATATAACCAATCAAGCTTTTTGCACGTGTGACCTGCTTCTTTCTGAGACCGATGGCTAGGTGAGCACACACACGTTGGCGTGGTCGATATTGCAGGTCGCACGCCAGGCTGCCGATCGAACGAAAGCTAGCAAGAACGTGCCCGTGGGTTTCATCAACTCACGATCATATCTCTCGTATGATCGCGACTGTCGCAGCGCGCTGGCCGCACTCTCCCGTGTGGCTTCTAGTAGGGGAAATCGCATTCCGAATCCGAGCTCCGCGTGATCAATAGCGTGTGGTCGCCATGGCAACGCCGGTGATGTCGCATTGAAAGCTCATTGCTTTTAACGAGCGGCCGCGTGACATTGTATGATCGGAGCGAAACTCTGCGCGTCTGGTGTTGGTGGCTATCGGTGTAGCACCCACCCCATCGTGCCGCTTTTCCCGACGACTGTTCAACTCGCGGATGTTTTCTCGATTCCATAATTGCACGCGAGGTTGTTGCCTCGCTCGATGCAGAGCCTAGGATGATGCGTATCGGCTAATGCGGCGTGGACAATGCGGCAGACAATATCCCCGCGAGAGGAGAAGCCGGAGAGAGAGGAAGCCCCGCGGCATGGTACAGCCGATATTGTGTCGAGCATCTAGGGTTTTCTCTGTGCACGCGCGAGTCCGCACGCACGCACGCACGCACGCACGCACGCACGCACGCACGCACGCACGCACCCGAGGGGAGCTGTTTGTTAGATTAGAAGCAATGAAAAGCCTGCGCTCACTCTGTCGCCACGCTTCATCGTTAAGTGGCTGGAGCATCGTTCGCAGCGAGGCGCGTTGGCTTAGGACGTGATGAGGAAGAGGCTGAGAGCGATGCTCCTGGCGATTCCCATCACTGCAGGCTTCACGGCCGAACTAGCATCGGGAGACCGGGCAGAGTGATTTGGGC